TATTTTATTTGCTAATAGACCCTAATATACATCAAGTTGATCAACATTAAGATTATTTCCATTTTCTTGTTAGTAAAACTGCATTGACAGTCTTTGTGCCTATCAACTTTTGTTTTCCTTCTGCTGATGTCTGTCCTTAGGATACAATTCCCAGAGAGGGACTGCAGTGTCAAAGGGCAAGGAACATAATTTTGGTTCTTGATGCAAATTGCCAAATTGCTTTCCCAAAGGATCGGACCTATTTGGATTGCAGCTGTAACAGTGCAAGCTCATCACTGACTGATGGATTTTTTAGTTGCTATCTTTCTTTCCATGTTTTCAGTTTAGTCTTAACTCTTATTGTTTCTATGATTAGATATATACTCAAAATAGTGTGAAGGTGGCAGGAAAATACAAATTACCAGTGGGAAATGAAATAACTAGCCACAATTTAAAATCCCTTTCAGGTGTATTTGTGTCCACGAGGGTCTCCCTCAGGCTGCTGTTTCAATCCTTTTCAAGTCCATTTTTCCATAATGAGATGACAGGTGGAAGGAAATATGGCCAGCCTGGCAAGAGCCCACATTGGGAAGATTAGCTGGAGAGTGGGGAGAGACTGGGCCAGTGTTGGGGAACCTGGTGAGTGACACATGTAGCCAGGATACAGAAGGCAGAATCACAGTTGAGGATGAACTAAGAAAAATCATTGGCATCAAAGTTTTCTTCATTCTGTATCTAACCCAGTAGTACCTCCCTCATACAGAAACTAATTTGTAGTCAGAATAATTAGAATCAAGAAATAGCACTGGCAAAAAGGAAGAAAGGTCCAGACCTGCTGCTCCTTGGAACAATGGAGAGGCAGAATAATAAAAATTCTTACACAGTAAGCTCTTTCAATGTGTCCAGTATTGTGCAAAATGCTTCCCCTGGCTTATTTCTAATCCTCACAGCAACCCTAGGAGATGAGCACAATTAAGATGATTTTACGCATGAGGAATCTGAGGCTCAGAGAGGTTGAGCTCATAGGCAACATGAAGAGGTAGTAAATAGCATGAGTTCTAGAGCTAGGCTGCTTGGGTTGGAAACCTGGCTTTCCCATTTACTAGTTATGTGGTTTTAGGCAAGTTATTTCACTTCTCTGCCCTTCAGTTTCTTCTTCTACTTGTAAAAGAAGATAATAACAGAAGAGCTTACCTTACAAGGCTTTTTGCAAGGATTGTAGGAAATAATACAGGGTGGGGCAAAAGAAGAAACTAGGCACAGTGGATAAGTAACTGATCAAAGGTTAACTAAACTGGTAGATGCAAGTGCTAGAATTTAAACCCAGGGCCCTAGAGCCCACACATACAATCACTACACACTATAAACTACAGACTTTCATTAATGGTAAGGGGCTAATTAATAGAGGATAATCTTAGTCTTTAGCATAGTGACTGACACATAGAAGACATTTATTACATAATTTTGGAATGTTGAGTGAGCCATTTATGCCTCTTACCATGCAACCCAGTAATAATTGTGTATTTAATCAAATAAATTAGAGACAAGTTATTTAATTTGTCTAATTATTAATTTAAACTATTTGCCTGAATTAGCCTTCAGTATGGCTCCATGTAATTAATCATCTGTTCAAAATGCACAGTAAGGCTATTCATTCATCCTTCATTGATTGAGAATACCTACTAGAAGCCAAGCCCCCATACTATCTCTAGGGATAGCAATAAATAGACATAGAAACTCACTTTTTAGAA